ACTAATGCTTATCTCGATGGCTTATGTGTAAATAGTCCCGATTTGTTTCACTCCCCTAAACAACCTACGATTACCACTTCTGACTACGGTAACATTCTTCTTTCCCCAAGATATTCCATAAAACTAACCATTATCTTCATATCCGAATCTAACGAAAATAAATGGTTCCCCTGAGAACTGACTCAGGATCCGGTATAAAGTTTCTTCAACCTGCTGCTCAATAATCAGCTCTTGTTATCTTGCAAATATCTGCTGGTTATCTTAATTTCTGGTATGACTTGGGTTACTTTGTCGAAAATATTTACATTGTAACTGAGAGATTTTCCTTGCCTCTACTAAAGCCACTCCATCGTGCTAAAAAGATGTTTTACATGACCGGTACGTGTAACAGTGTAAAAGAACGGTCTGTTCTAATTAGACCTGAAGTAAAACGTTTGAAGGAAATGTATGTAGAAACTGTTTTCAGTAATAAAAGCTGTTGTGAAATGTGGACCACCCTGCGAAAACTCTGTTGCCCAAGTTGCAGTTCTCGTCCTAACATTGAGTTACTAAATCATCAATTTGCTTCCGTACGTGCCTTAAGTTCCCACCCACCTCCTTTTCCAACCCATGATGGGATAGACCGTGTTCCTCTGGACGAGGTTCTCTAAGTCCTGAGGGGACTCAAGGCCAACAAAGCTCACCATCCCGATCGATTGGCACCCACACGTATGTACCGATCAGCTTATACCACCTATTGCTGAATTGTTCAGTAAATATTTGTCATTTAAAACGACTCCCGGTTGTTGTAGGTCAACCCGGATCAGACCAATCCGAAAGAAAGGATCGTCAAAGTACCGTCCAATCGCTTATACATCTGTGTTGCTGAAAGATTTGAAAATATTATGCTGTACCGCATGACAGCTCTAGGTAACTCTCAAGATCGTTCACAGTTTGCGTATAGATCCCATCTGTCTACACAAGACGTTATTGCCCATATTGTGCACGTACCGCTCATTTGAATTTTCTCGATCATGCAAACGCCTTTGGTTCTCTAGACCAAATTGCTTGCTGAACGTCTTTCTGAGTGTGGTTTGGCACCTGAAGACTTAAATTTTCTAATCGACTACTTCTGACGCAGGACAGTTTATCTCATTTAGTGGCACACGATCGTCTTCTATACAGGTTGATGCTGCTGTTTTTTAGAGTGCTATTTTATCCCCTTCCGTTTTATGTACACAGACTCTTGCCCATTCCCAGTAACTTTATTGCTTGTGAGCATGCTGATAATATGATGATTGGTTGTCCTTTCCCCAGCCGAGACAGTTTACGATCTCTCCAGGGCAGCCTTAACGAACTTCACGATTGGTCTGTGACCCGATACCTTGTACTCAACATCAGTAATTGCGTTGACATTCCCTCTTGCCTTAAAACCGGCCCCTGTTATCTTTCATCGGTAAGTAATCTCTCTGATCTGATGGCTAAGTACTAAAAATCTGTTTTTCTAATACCTTGGAGCCACCCTCCTCCATAACCCTCCTGGGTTTACGTTTTTACAATAGATAAAAAATTATCTTTTTATGCATATAGGCTCCGGAATCTGACGCCCTATATAATCTTATTCTTAGATTCTTGATTTCCTGCATTCTTCCACACTGCTTCTGAATATTTATCTCTGGACTGAAAGAAAAAAATTACCGTTTTCTGCATCCCTTAGACATTTATTCCGTGGACTTGGTAGAATCCTTTTCTTATTTCCGAGCATTTTGACCTTTGTGATACCTCTATTTACAGGAGAATACGTGGTCAAGAGTCGTATCGAATCCCCAAAATCACTCCAAATACCAACTGCTTCCTGTATGTACTTTCATATATAGAAACAGTGTAAGTCTATATCGTACTATTAGTTAATCTTAAGACAATTGTCACCTAACTCAGAGAATCTTGCATCATTTGAAAAGCATGTTATATTATTTTTGTTGATTGCAATTTGTT